GTCCACGAAGACGGGGCCGTTAGCAGAAAATTTAACTGCTGCAAACGCATTTTCCTGCTATTCCAGCCTCAATTTGGTCCAATATAGCCCACCTGGCTGACCCGAATTCCAACCAATCAATCGTCGCGGAGTATGGAGGCCTCACCCTCCCGGAGAAAATTTTGAAAATTTAACCGCATATGCGTTTTCTGCTATTCTAGCCCGTGTAAGCAACTCGCAACAGTATCCAATGGTTTTGTAACCTAATTAAAATCCCATTTTGAATTCCAACCATTCAATTAGACTGTTGCAGCTGCATTCACAAATGATAATCGATGCCCGAAAAATGTCGTACAAAGTAGAGTGGCTCCAGACAAAATGTTTTAATCCATAGTCAACTCAGTACAAATTCTTGGTATTCAATTAGAAGATAAGTAAAATTAGTGTTTTATTAGGGCTCGGTGACAGGGAAGCAAAACTAGAAATGCCCGAAAAAATTTCAGGTTTACAGACAGCGGCGTCGGTTTTCTTCGAGAGGCGAAGAAGCGAAGCTGACCTTGTAAGGACCCCCCAAGAAAAATTTGGGAATATTTGACGGCCGCAAACGCGTTTTACTGCTATTCCAGCCTGTAAAATTAATGTTTTATTAGATTTCGGGCACTTTATTTTGCCAAGTAGATGAAATAAAAAAATTGTTTCACTTTACCCGTCTGCCCGAAAAGTCAGCTTGCCCGAAAGTTAGGGGGGCAGCTGTCCCCCCTGCCTCGTACGCCTATGTTTGTTTTTGTTATACAATTTTGTTTCTGAAGCATACATGTATCTTGTAAACCATTCATGATATCTTTATGAAAATTAGTCAGATTTAACAATTTTTGAGTTTGTATGGAAGCAAATTTGACCTAGTTTGTGGTACACAATTATTATATTGCACAGAGCATATAGTTGTATCTCATAAACCATTTAAGATATTATTTTTGTGTTGGCAACACATTTGACTTATTTTTTTTTAACATAAATATTGTTCTGTGGCACATATCAGAAACCATTCCAGATATCTTTAACATACTTTATGAAATTTAGTTGCAAACTTTCAGTCATACATATAGAATTGTTTTCAATCTTTTGATACTTTAATTCCAGAAAAATTGAAATCAATTGAGTTTTTTTTTGTACCCAGTCAACCACAGATACCACATGATTGTAATGAATACTTAAGTTCTTTTTGCCAAATTGGGCACAATTTAAAATGACGCATGGCTCTATTTTTTGGAACATTGAAATAAATGAAAATGGTTCTAAAAGCACATATTAATTAAATGTAATATGAATGAATGTAAAGTAATTTATATTAAATGTTTGAAAAAAATATTGTAAGTTCTAGTCATTTATGTTCAGTGAAATATGTGAACAGTTCAAAGTAAACGGCAGTCATTTATGCCTTCTTAGTCCATTTGGCATGTTTTTTTTATTATTATTTTGTCATTTGTGAATCAGCCTTTACTAATTACTTTGACATTTTCTTGTAGGATATATTTTTATCTGTTCATTACAAAATGCCACCCGAAACACTAATTGTGTACTGATTATAAAATGTTAATTGTGTCTTAAATATTGGATATTAGGATCCTATATTTTCACAGCAAAAAAACAACATTAATTTTGATTGAAATTAAACAATATAGAATTCTAATTTGTGTTTTTAATTTCGAATATTATGGAAAATATTGAGCTAGAGATTTTGCTCCTTTCAGCGGTAGACACATTAGCCGAATCAATCAGCACCAAATTTTATTTGTCTGAATGGGTGGACACACAAATCCTTTGCCAGATTCACCAGTCGATGGCATCACCTGTCACGTCACATGATTAAACATGGCGGCGACCATGTCTTCAAACAATCATGTGACGTCTCGATATAAGTGGATGATGAGTGGTGATTGGCTAATGAATTCTACAATCGGGTGAATGCTTTGGCGAAGCAGACACACTAGGGGAATATATCAAACATGTTTGATTCGGGCAAATCATTCGGTCGAATAGAAATTTGGCCGAATGACAGTTGACACACAGTGAATTTTGACGCCGATTGATTCGGCTAGTGTGTCCACCGCTTTAATGTAGCATTAATATGAAAACAGTTCAACGCCATTGTCCATTTTTCTCAAGCATGCGATGAAGGTACAATAATTGGATCAATAACTTCATAAATAATGTTATTGGTTGGTCTTGTTTAATGGAAGAGCTTAGTATGTAGCCTGAAGTTCAATGAAAAAAGTTTTTGCTTTATATTTTAGGGTCTTAAAGCAGAGGCTTGGAAAAACATATCCAGAGGCATTTTCAGGTATAGACTTTTTATTTATAAATTATAATTAGTTAATTTTTGAGGAGAAACATCATAATTCAATGTACTTTTTTTTAAAAGTATTTAGAGCTATCCTTATTTATGTTTTAGAATTTCAATATAAACTAAAACTACCCAAAATACTTTGAGACATCAATGTTTGGGTGGCACAAAAAAGTCAGGGTTGACTAATTGTTCTCCTTTAAGTATGTACTTATAAACTAAAATTGATAATTGATTACCGTTACAATGCCTATATAGTAGTGTTAATTAATTATAATTTTTTAACCAATTTTTTCCAGTATGCAGTGATATTTGTAGTCTTTCTGAAAGACTAGATGATGAAGATGTTCCTGAAGCAAGATCATCGGTTGCACAACCTTCATCTAGCACAAATGGTAATCGAAACAAAAATGATCCTAAATCTAATACAAAAGATAAAACATAGTGAAAAATAACAAACAATTTCATTCCTTTATTATTTATATTTGTTGTAAAATCGCTCCACTATATAATAGAAACAACTGTATTCAAGGTGAACATATTGATGGGCATCCTGAAAGTACAACATTCTTTACAGTCTTTAATCAATTGCCAGGATGTGCATAGAACATGATCGTGTGATAGTTACATTGGACCTAGTTGGTTCATTTGATTAGAACTTAAAAATTTAAATATAAAGATGACTCAGGTATTTGGTATAGAATGTTACAATGTAAAAAAGATAAGTGTGAAATATCAGGGGAAGAATGATAGATTAGTGAATATATAATTCACTAAAAAATAATGATATATTTTTGCTATTGATTTAGCATTTTCCTAATCTATAAACTAACTATATGTTACTACACGTTATACATGTAGGTGTTGTACACATGCAGTGTTAGTAGATTATGGTCCTTTGAACCTCACCAGTTAAACATGAAAAAGGCAGAAAACATATTAAACCATCAGTAACATAATAATATGCTTTATCAGTTTTCATATGTTATAAAAACCAACCTTTCATTGAGAGTTGGTCAGAACTGGTAAAAATACATGTACTGAGGGCCCTGGTTTTCACACTGAAATGTTAACCTAAGTATGTTAAATGTTTCCAGTTAAAGATCAAGTTTGTTCTGATTGTTGTAAATAGTTTGATAAAATCAGATAATCTTTTATTTTGAAAACAAATAAATATGTGTGACATATATTAATTATTGTGTCATAATTCTTAATAGATCACATTTATCTTAATCATATTGATATTTAGTCCAAAATATCCGACTTTTTTGTTAGCCATTGTTTAAAAACTGGCGGCTAGGACAGATCCTTTTCTTCTCTGTTTTCTGAATCTTCGGCTGTTCAGAATTTTGATCAGTTTTCACAATGCTTCCCCTTTTCATCACATTGCATGATATATCAATCAAAAGCTTGATTATTAAAATACCCAAAGATGTATCCAAGATATTTCTGTGACTTGAATGTTGGTAGATGTGAGCAAAACAATACCCACCTTGATAGCCCATGTTGGCAAAAGGTTAGTCCCATTGTTTTGTACACAACTTTGAATAAATAAGTTGCAGGAAGATCAGAAGTATGTTTGGAAACATATAATGTAATATATTTTAGTGATGGAATCTGTGAAAATAATCAAAAACCCTGCATGTTTGGAAAGGTAAAGTGTAGAATATATGAAAAAACAAATCCAAGGGCCTTATCTTTCTGACTTTCTCCTTTGGACTAATTGATCTTAATATTATGTTGTCAGATTTAAAAAAAACAAACAAAAAAACTGTGTACAGTACTGTGAAGAATTTTTGTTTCAGAATGTACTGTTTTCTTTTGATGTAAAAATGATACTGTTATTATTGAATAAAGATATAATATTATAAAACAGTAGCCTATATTTTCACTTAGTCAACAGATATAGAAATGTCAAAATGGGAGTATCCCAAGGGATTATATTTTTAATTCATAATTTTTCAATAACATTTTGGATTTTAGAGTCAATGTGGGGCAGTATGATGAGTATGACTCCAAGCGACTTTTAAACAGATTTGGGGTCTTGAGGAGATCACATCAATCGGTAGATTTTTCCAATCATATAGACTAGGTGGCAGAAGAAGTTAGCTCTTACTCATTGACAAGATATTTTGGCTTATAATTGTTTTTTATTTCAATACATGTAGTAAATTCAATTCAAATTATCTGAATTGACCTGTCTTTAAACATGGTGCATTATAATGGATTTCATTTGCTTTGTGTAGTAAATCATAGTTCAATGTTTTCCTACTTGGTTTCCCCTTATTAGTGGTGCAGGAAATAGGGCCTGACAAGGACATATGTTTAGTCGTTCGGATAGAATGGAAAACCGAGGTCACGTGTATAATTGACATGCACGTAAAACATCTTCGTTGACAGTTGGAATTCGATATAAATAAGAGTAGGCCATAGTACCGCTGCCCGGGCAAAATTTCCCGCATAGAACACGGTATGGTGTATGCCTGTTGTCATTAGCCCAGTCGGAGCAGAACAGTAGGGCGTTAAACCCCATTTCATTTCATAGTTCAATGAGTAAATTTGATCCACCGGAAATAAATTTGTTTACATCGACAACCAGAGCAGGTGCGGAGTAAATGAAGTACTTGCATTTGATAAGTCTTTAAAAGTAAATGCAAAATTCTGATTGGACGAAGTCTTTGTTTACAGTCGGCCATGTTTCTAGTTCGGAGTGGGCACATTTTTTTTTAATATTTTGTGTAATTTAGTGAGTTATTAAACGTTCAAAATGCCGATTGCTGTAAAAGATTACTCCTGGGATCAGAACGAGAAACTGGTGTATTTGACTGTTCCATTAAAAGGTGTAAAAACAAACAAAGTCGACATCTTTTCCTCAGAAGAATATCTCAAGGTTGGTGCCCGTTGAATTTACATTCAAATAACATTCCCATCCATACTTAATAATTTATCATTCACTCTTTCCAACAAAGACATGATCTGCTTTCAACTAACACAGTCTGTCTATTTGCCATACTAAAAAAATAAAATGTTTGTGTCCCGTATAAATAAGCTACAGGTACTTAAAGATACATTAAAGGGACAATAACACTCTTGCTGGCTTGACAGCTCCAGAAACTAAATAATAGCCTTATTCTAAGTACTAGATGTTTAAGTGTCCTGCCTGTTGTGTAAATTATCCATTAAATTCTATTTTACTTATCCAGAGGGTTCGAAAATATTTTTAAATCCAAGTCACATTTGAAAAGCTTTACGTTAGGCTTTTCAAATCATTTAGTTGAATTTTTCCAATTTTTTAAATTAGGTGTGAAATGGTTTGAAACGCCTAACGTAAACCTTTTCAAATGAAACTTCCATTTAAAAATATTTTCGAACCCTCTGGACAAGTAAAATAGGATGTAATGGATAATTTACACAACAGGTAAGACACTAACACATCTAGTACTTAGCTTTCAAGCCAGCAAGAGTGTTATTGTCCCTTTAAGAGTTTAATAAACTATAAAAGAGTTGGTCATTCTTTGCAATAGTATAATCTATAATAATTCAAAAATAGATGATAAAAAAAGAAAATATTGAAAATTTCATTCAGATTACTTCATTCTCAGTCAAGTTATCATTGTTTGTAGTTTTGAACGGCGAACCGTTTTTTTTAATCTAGTTAAAATCTTGAGTATATGGTCTTGTTTTGTTAATAAATGTGTAATTAATAGTTTATATTAATATAACATTTCAGGCCTAAAGAAAGACCTGCAATAGGCAGATTTAGCTCTTGCATAATGTATGTTTAATTAACAGATTCTTATCGCTACTACTGCTGCCTCACAACTAAGTGATAATATAGGCTACTGTTTTATAATATATCTTTATTCAATAATAACAGTATCATACAAGTAATATAAAATTAAGGCTTTTCCCCAATCTCGGTTCTAAAGGCTATTTTGGATCCCTTACCATCTAGTTTTTGGCTTGATTCTTCTTTGTTCGTCAAAATCATTTCTTGCCACATCCGACACAAATTTATAATAATCCAACACTATTTTCATGTAAAATTTTGTGATCCAAAAACACAAACAAAATTTGGTTGAAATAATCCACTAAGTAAGTGTCATTTACAAAAAATTATGACTTCATTATTAGCTCAGACAGTAGGACTTGTAGTTGTTTTTAGGAATTGCTGATTACCCTAACAATATTGTCTTTAGTTTCGAATAAGTTGCACTAATTGATAGACAAGGAGAAAGATACATGTATGTAGGCCAATAGTTTATTTCTGTGTACATTTTCTAGGTCAGTTATCCACCCTATATATTTGAGTGTTTATTAAACCAGCCAGTGGACGATGAAGCCAGTACCGCACAGGTGGGCAATGGAGCAGTTGTATTTAAACTCAAGAAAACTGATTCTTCACAATGGCCACAATTACAGTCAGATGATGCAGGTATGAAGTATAATAAAGCTTATAATTATATGCATGCATAACAACATCAGTTTTAAAGGACATGTGTAAAATTCTTTGATTTGGATGAAAAGTAGGAGTGTTACTTAATTTTTTTTGTTTTTTGTAATGCTCAAACAAATCTACACAAAATCTAAACCAATTTTAAGAGACATGCATTTTATTAAATATTCAAAAATGCATATATTATATTTAGCTATATTTCCCTTTATATGTTGTATGTTTATTAAAATCATCATGATACAGTAAGGAGTAAGTGTACATGATGTGGAGTTCTCTCTTAGTATATTTGGGAAATATTCAATATTATTGTTTGTCAATGTAAATAATAACACCTACCATATTTATAATTTGATCTTTTAACTTTTCTTTTTTTAGTAAATAAAGAAGTAATGAAACGAAAGCGAGAAGAAGCTTTAGAAAAATCACAAACAAGGGCAAAGGAAAAACAGAAAGCAAAAGAAGAGAAAAAACGTGAAACTGAGAAATTTTCTATCAACCAAATGATGCAGGTAATTCTTGTGTAATTGTCAGCTGCCATTCGTTAACTGTTTACCTAACAAAGTAATGTTTTTTTTTATATACCAGAGTATATATTTTTATGATGTTATATACACATAAGCACCGTTATAGTTATCTGCCGCAAGTCAGTTATGCATTTATAGACATTTTCCTCTATTTCATGTACCATGATGCCTTGTATTAAAAGAACATTTTTTCAGTGGATCCGCCATTATATTAAAACAACATTAATCTGTTGAGACTACAAAATGAAAAGGATGCCCAAGTAAATTGATATTTTGGAGGGGTAAACCGTTTTGGTTTGATTTTCACAAAACAGTTGAACGGTTCCAGATTCTCACTGTTGCAATATATCCAATCTACAGCGATGTATTAATCATTCGACGTAGTAACGTAAAGCAATGATTAAATGCAAAAAACAATCATGTTTTGCATAAAAGCAGAATGTACTGATTTGGTTAAATTAGGAGGTTATTTGCCGACTGCTGAGATACATCATTATTTTCATGTTTATTTCTTCAGATTGAGGAAACTGACCGAGAAAGAATTGAACATTTAAAACAATCAGAAAGAAACAAAGCAACTGACGAATTAGAGCAGTGGAAAGAAGAACAAATGAAACAAGCAGAACAGGTATTTGATTTATTGCTTGAATCGTTAGCACGCGCGCACTGTATCATATGGTCTGTCATTGAGTCAACTGGCGGGGTTTCGATTCCCCAGTTGTACGTGAGAAGGAGTAGGGTCGCCTGCACAACCTTGTGGTTTTCTCCGGGTTCTCCGGTTTCCTCCCACTGCTAAAGACCCCTATGCGCAAGCGATTTATTGAAATAAAATTGAACCATGCTTTAGTCCCGAAATGACCTAGTTTGTGTCGAGTGGGCATTCAACACCATTTCTCTCTCTCTCTATTGATTTCCAATATGAATGCTGATCTTATTTCAATTAAATGAAATTTCTCTTTTTTTGTCTGCTGACATTCCACTACTAATAACAGTATTTCTTTATTTCTCTGTATTCTGTTGTGTAGTTCTTCTGGATTGTCTATTAGTTGTGCATTATTAAAAGATACATTGTGGAAGAATTAAATCTGCCCATTAAAAAATCTGACTTTAAATGTTATAGAAATTATTATGTAGACATTTATTCACATGACAAGCCCATGATCAACTCTCTAGACCCAAACTGATTAGCAGTGAATATTCGCTGAGAGGGATGACATAGATGCGAGTTAAGTGGCTTACAATAATATTTTCCTTCTGCAAGTTAAATTCTAGAACATTTTTTATACGCCCACATTTTCATGTGGACGTATTATGCCGTCGCCCCTGTCCACAATTTGTTTGTGGACACTCTACAGGTCACAATTCTTATCCGATTTTGACGAAACTTGAAATATAGGTTTATCTCCGAAAGATCTTGGTTCCCTTCGATATTGGCATGTATCGGATCGAAACTTCATGGATTATGGCCCCTGTTTGTACGAAAAATCACGTTTTTAGCTTGTGGACACTATAGAGGTCACAATTTTTATCCGATTTTGTTGAAACTTGAAATCTAAGTTGATAATCCAAAGTTGATATTCGCGCATATCGGACCGTAACTTCCTGAATTATGGCCCCTGATTGTACCAAAAATCGTGTTTTTAGCTTGTGGACCCTATAGAGGTCATAATTTTTATCCGATTTAAAAAACCGTTCAAGTATATCACCGTTACACCCTAAGGATGGCTGAGTACGAATTTCGTGAAAATCGGCCCGAAATTGACAGACAAAATGGCTGCCGTTTGTTCTCAAATAACGTAAAAATATGGTATATCAATGTTGTGGACACTATAGAGGTCGCAATTTTTATCCAATTTTGTTGAAATTTGAAATCTAAGTTGATAATCCAAAGATCTCGGTTCCTTTCGATATTCGTGCACATCGGACCGTAACTTCTTGAATTATGGCCCCTGATTGTACCAAAAATCGTGTTTTTAGCTTGTGGACCCTATAGAGGTCATAATTTTTATCCGATTTAAAAAAACGTTCAATTATATCACCGTTACACCCTAAGGATGGCTGAGTTCGAATTTCGTGAAAATCGGCCCAAAATTGACAGACAAAATGGCCGTCGTTCGTTCTCAAATAGCGTAAAAATATGGTATATCAAGGTTGTGGACACTATAGAGGTCACAATTTTTATCCGATTTTGTTGAAACTTGAAATGTAAGTTTATAACCCAAAGATCTCGGTTCCTTTCGATATTCGCGCATATCGGACCGTAACTTCCTGAATTATGGCCCCTGATTGTACGAAAAATCGCGTTTTTAGCTTGTGGACCCTATAGAGGTCATAATTTTTATCCAATTTAAAAAAACGTATTATTATATCACCGTTACACCCTAAGGACGGCTGAGTTCGAATTTCGTGAAAATCGGTCCAAAATTGACAGACAAAATGGCCGCCGTTCGTTCTCAAATAGCGTAAAAATATGGTATATCAAGGTTGTGGACACTATAGAGGTCACAATTTTTATCCGATTTTGTTGAAACTTGAAATGTAAGTTTATAACCCAAAGATCTCGGTTCCTTTCGATATTCACGCATATCGAACTGTAATTTCCTGAATTATGGCCCTTGATTGTAGGAAAAATCACTTTCTTGTTAGCTTGTTCTCTATCCATCTCTCGAAAATGTGGGCGTATCCTGCCTGGCAGCCGCTGGTTTGAAGTATTAGTAAAATAAAATTTGAAAAAGGTGTTTAAAGTATATCTGGATCAAAGATATTTCCTATTTAGTGTAAATGGGTATTTTAAATAGTACTCAAGGGCATAAAACAAGTAAAAGGCACCATTCTATCTGGACTAGTTTATGTTACTCTGTTTTAAACAATGTAAATGCTATTGAGGCCAATGGTCGACGCTGTGTGATGTAACATCACAGGTAGAAGACATTTGAACTTATAATAAAGCTCAGTCATCTTACACAGAGTTAGAAGAGGGCTTTCACATTACCCCTGTGAAACAGATTGCTCTAGACCATTGGATGGCTGAGATATTAAGTGGATTATACATGTCTTTCATATCTTTGTTAAAATGGAAAATTAACAATGGAACTTGACAATCAAGACTTTTGTGTCAAAACTTTAAACTTTACTTAGAATGATAAAGTATTTTGACTGAAATTTCAATACATTCATTTTTCATTATCTATTTTCAATCTATTTTGGCAAGTTAATGGTCAGATTTATTCCTTGAAAAATATATTCTTTATATGGTGTACTAAAATTGTCACAGGTTCTGATATGTAATCTGTAAATAGTGTTATAATGTATAACAGACTGACAATAATGAAAACAAAAATTAAACCCAGAGTGTAATGTACATGTATCATTTTTGCCTAATAATTGCAGGAAAAGTTGAGATTATTGGAAGAGAAATATAAAGAAGATAAAATTCAAAGAAAAGCCAAGAAAGAAGAACATCAAGGTATTTAAGATATTGTAATTTACTGATATACGATACTGGATAACTGCACAACAAAACAAAGACATAACAAAGAAAACAGTAAAAACAGTATAACAGTATAATTAGATACACATTCCCATTAAAATATGATATTAATTAACTGACACTAAAGCTACCTGGATTAAACATGCATTTCCATGAAAATATTTATTTTGGTTATTTCCAATAAAAATGTGATAAATTTGTTATATATATGGAAAATAGAGAAACACAATCTTGTGGTCATTTATTAAGTAAGATAATTTTCATGAAAATATTTTATTTAATTTTAGATGAAGAAATACAAGATGATATGTTCAGATCAGGAGTGCGACAAAATGGTCATATAGAAGTCAAGTTCACACCACGTGTATTTCCTACTCCAATTCGTGAATCGACTACACCACTAGAAGATGAATGGTTGAAGAAGCAAGCTGAATCACGACGAGTTGTAGAAATAGAAGATAAAGATTTATCAGAACAAGAGAAAAATCCAGTCTGGTTACGAGATAAAGGGAAGTAAGTTGCAGAGTGTGTTTGAAAAAAAGTAAAGTGATTTTAGCATCTTTGCATTTACCTTGTGAGTTGTGACACAAATCATATAGGAATAGGTATTTACTAATTATTGTGTTATTTAGCTAAAATTTACCATACAGACAAATCTCAGTCTACAGACATAAACACAGATTTTGATGTTCTGTATAAATCTTAAATCTTAAATCTCCCATTCACATAAAGTCTAAATACAGTCATTTATTTCTCGATCTACATGTAAAGGCATTTAAAGATCTTTGAAAATTAAACAGAAAAATGAATGGTTGCCATTGCCTGATATGAATAAGTCCATTTCCAATTGACCAGTAACATTTATAATTCTTAATAACATTTATCAGGCTTGTGTACCTGGATAACTGTGCCTAGACAGTACACTACCGAATATATATCAAGAAACGTTTTAATACCGAATATTTTTTATATAGAATTACAAAAAATGCCAGTTCCCACCTTCATATTTTATTTCATACTTCATTAATATATTTCATTTCAGTTCATTCTTTGCTTCGGGTGATTATCAGTCGGCAATCAATGCCTATAGTCATGCAATACGTCTCAATCCTAAGATGCCAGCTTTATATTCTAACAGAGCTGCATGTCATTTAAAGATTAGAAACTTTTTTAAAGCTGCAGAAGATAGTTCTAAGGTGAGTGAATTAACACACTGATATGAATATACACATATTCCATTAAGTCATCTATCGACCCACCAAACTTTTATTTTATCTAAAAAAAGGTGTTTTTTGTGATAACCTGGAAAAATTAAATTGTTGATCGCCTTCAGGTTGCAATAATATCTTGTTTTGTTATCTTTTCAGGCATTAGAATTATTAACTCCTGCTGTTCAACAGAATGCTGCTAGTAGATGTAAAGCACATGTGAGAAGAGGAACAGCTTTCTGTGAACTAGAGATGTATGTTGAAGGTAAGATTATCATTATCTACAATTTCACAAGTCTATTATTCTTTTGCACTATGTGTACAAATAAAAGGTTAAGAAATGTTTATTCAATTTTATACTACTTTATCACTGTATATGAGTAAATTCATTCGAGAATTCAGCAAATAGTTGCCTTGTAACTGAAGAATATCTTTTACAGATTTCATAAAACCAAAAGACTTCGGGCTAAGAGGAATAACTGCGAATACCTAAATGTCTAAAACAGCATAAGTGACAATTACACCGCTGAAAAGAAATTATCATTTTATCCAGATAGGCATTATCTGCACAGACAAATTGATAATTATATACATATCTTGTGTAATTCTTATAGGTTTTGTTTGATTGTTATGTCAACTTGTTTCTTTATGTGTTATAGGTTTGATGGATTATGAAGCAGCTCTTAAAATAGATAGAAATAATGAAAAATTACAACAAGATGCTGACAGAATACGTCATATTATACAAACTGAAACAACATCATAGTAGTTAATTACAAATTATCTTTAACGAATGATCCACAAAATTAATAGCTCATTTAGGAAAGCTAGAAATTTTTGGTTGTATGTTTTCTTGTATTTTCAAATTTCGTGAGAATGTGGCTTTAGAGAAAAATAAATACCAAACAATTTATAAGCCAATGGACATTCATAGTAAAATATTCTTGACTATATTAAGTCATACAGACACTCACATGTTTTTACTTGCAGCTAGGTCACTGCAACAATGATGTCTAAGAAACCAGATAATAAACCCAAACCTAAAACAAGAATATATGTAGGGACATAAATATAAAACTTTTGGCTACCTACATATCTCGCATTATCCCATGTAGGTATGTACTGGTATGATATTCCTTATCAGTACTGGAATACAAAAGGTTTCTAGCAATTGGTACTTTATTAGGCCTACTTGTGTTTATCAGTATATTGTTCCATATACATACAATGTATGTATGTACCTTATGTTATTCTCTGTGTATATTCATTCTATATTTGTAATGGTATATTCATTCCATATTTGTGCCGGAATATTCATTCCATGTGTGTACTAGTATACATTCCATTCCATTTTGTATTCAAGATCCCCCACAAAGCATTATTTCATATATATTCAGATTGTAATACTATCTTTTTTTATTTTGAATTGTTGATAATATATCTTGTTATATATTTATTTATGTAATAAAAATTATTTTCTACAGGCTGGTGTGTTAAGATTCTTTGTCTTTACTAAAACCCCAAAGTAGGTTTAGATTAATAATATTTTATTACAGAGTTGGGCTACAAACTTATCAACATGGATATCAAACAATTTACTTTATCGACTTCTTCAGAACAACTTCTTCATAACCATTGAGTGTATGTTAACCCAGAATTTCTTAGGCGTTGTGGGGGTTGGGGGTTAATGGATTCATTGGCAGAAAAAGGTCATTTAAACAGGTAACAACTGACCAATTTAAAATTGTCTTTGAAAGACTACTGAATGAAGTTTTAATTTGATTATAATACCATAATGTATATCCAGGTAATTGAGATTAATTATTCATTTTGTGCCTCTTTTACTCAACTTTACAACCTGCATAAGATAAGATTTGATTTTACCATTACATCCATGGATAGCATACAAAGTTTAAAGTTTAAGCATTTAGTAAATGTTTGTAGTAGTTCAGTAGGAATAACTTTTAAAAAAGATTTTTTAGCATTGTATGGATTTACTATTTCTAATTGAACATCAAAAACTCGATAGCACCTTGTTAAAAAATTGAAAACACATTTGTTGAACTGCACTTTTTTTTTTTATTTATATCAAGATTTTACATAGTTTCCTGCACATGTTCCACTTCTTCGGGTAAACCAGGATTCATATCAAACATTTCCATTACCTTTTCTGCTCCTGGTATACCAACCAAGGAACTGGCAGTTCTCGGGATGTTTTCAAAATAATCATTCCAATGAAAGGTCTGAGCATCACGGAAACAGAACTGGGCTTCTAGATTTGGCTGCCAATATGTGTAATACAAAACATAGAAATTACACATTTCATCGGAATTTGTTGGTCTGAAAAATAAATATAAACAAATCCAAATCAAACAATTGGTTAATGGATGTGGGCACCACTTTAAAAGAAAGAGAGACCGGGGAGAATCGTATGTCCAACCTTGCCACGTTGAAACTAATCCAATAATGCCGTAGCAGTGGTAAGCAGTATTTTCACGATAATCAGCTGTTATCGGAGATTGGTTACCGACTAATCAATATGCATGTACTCTCTTTACGCTGCTCTTCTTTAGTATCCTTAGTAACTGTTACTTAAATTTTTTGAAAGTAGAGCAGAGAATATGAGTTGTGATTCAAGCAAGGTTGAATGCACCCGGTTTCTAAAGAAACTGTGATTTCGTTTCAGTATAGAGGTGCGTGGACCAGGTTCCCAACGAAAATATGTTTTCGTGTTCAGTGTATTTCTAAGTCAACACATGAAAAGGGGTATACGAAATGCAGTGTGCTATGAGGTAAATTTTGCACGGATAGCGGCGCTACGGCCTACTATTATTTCGTAATCCAACAGTCTGGGGTTCTTTTACGTGTACGTCAGTGTGTATACGGGTCCTGGGGTTTTCGTCTCATCCGTACGACTATATGTTGGCCCTCCGTCCTATACCACTGAGAGGAAATCACGGTGGCTTAGTGGGTAAGACGATGACTCGCTAGCCTGGAGGTTTGGTTTTCGCTCCCTGCATTGGCCGAGAAAGTTCCACCGGATTTTCCGACGTGGTTCCCCCATGGACCTTATATAAGGTCCATGGTTCCTCCTTGCTCTCCAGATAAGAATATAGCGTCTCCGTTTGATATGACTTGCGGAATATGCCTAGCCTCGGTCTTCGAGTCCCTTGTTACAAATGGCGCTGAAACGCATTATGGGACGATTTGAATTCCCGGGGCCGTAGTCCCGTATGCACCCCCCCCCCCCGCCACAGCCTCCATCCCTGCATGCTACTGAGTGAGGACAGCTTCCATCACCAAAGCCATAATTTAAATTTCATAAAAACTTAATTAATTTCATTCTTTGATTGCATTCCCGGGGCCTTAGCCCCGTATGCGACTGTGGTTAAAACCCATTTCCTTTCATTCCTCTGTCTGTCTAGATAATGTGTTATATATGAGTACTGGACCTGTATGTCTAGACATTGTGTTATATATGTGTACTGGACCTGTATGTCTAGACATTGTGTTATGTGCACTGGACCTGTATGTCTAGACATTGTGTTATATATGTGTACTGGACCTGTATGTCTAGACATTGTGTGGTATATGTGTATTTTGGATCTGTCTGTGTAGACATTGTGTACATTATTTGTAACGTGCTATACTGTCTATATTGTACTCTTATGTGTAACGTAACATACCGTCTATAGACATTGTGTACTATATGTGTACCGAGCTATACTAGACGTAATTTTATACAGGAAATACCAACCGGTGTATTAATACGATATAATATACGTATATATATATATATTATATATAATATAATATATATCAATGGTTGCCCTCATACAGGTTTCGTGGATGCTATAACCCCCACCCCACCCCCATTTGTTTACATATTCATGATTAAGCCGTGGTATGTTTCTCCTTTTTAATTTCCGTCTAGCTAATATATTAGTATTTTTATTGCCATTGATAAGCTCCGTCCCTTTTCAATAAGTTTCTCTAATCATACAATGTTCTGTTATATTATATCCAATTGTCTCTAATATTATGGCATATAATATAGGTTTGGCTATTTCTACGTTTCACCTAACGTGTTAGTTATTGAGTGTGGATTGTTAAAAACTGAGAGGAGTGTTTATAATGTGAATGTCAGATGAATACACTATATTATTGTCATGAACTAGTTAATATTTAATTGTTATGCCTATCTGGACCAGCATCCAAAACAGTACATATATGATAATTTCAAATAACTATAATTGGAAGACGGCCATCAGTTTGAATGGTAGGTGAATACATTTATTATAGAAATTTAAAAAAATGAATTTGCGTCGATTTCAATCTGATTAAAACACAGATCCTATTTCGTTTCGTTTTTTATTGTTCAAAATTTCGTTTTACTTGTCTTTACTACACTAGGATCTGGAAGAGTTGTTATATTTGACGTGTTCTGGGTGATGAAAGGTGTTAGCCAATGAAACGGTCTGTTACGGCGAGGTTTTGGCGTGAGGTGCAGGGAATTGTGGGTAATCCACTAGAAACATCAATGCTGATTGGTTAATCAAATGTCTGACGTCATAGGGTCAAAAGCCACTCGTATGACCTCTGAGGCGACTTCCCAAAACAACTGGTCAGATCTTCATGTATTACGTGCGCGTTTCTAAATTCAATTTCTTGTTCCAGCTTTTTGTTGTTTCGTAAAAAGTAGTCTTGATTATCCCGGCCTGTCAATCAGACGGATAATGGTCTGTAGACTGGTTAAGCGAGACTATTTTCAAAACAAGAGCACGTATCCTATTTTTTACTCAAAAGTGCCCGGATGTTATGGCCGAACCTCGAAACCATTTTTCAGTCTAGATGTATGGTTAAATGGTCATAGCTTATATAATTATTATTAAGTACATGGCCGTTTATTTGGTGATTATAAATGTGCGAAATGGATTTAAGGCTCGGTATATATTTATATATATATATATATATATATATATATATATATATATATATATATAAATGTTGTGGTGTAATTAAATTTCAAGATATTTGGAGATATTTATTTATGGTGAGACACCCTAACATAGATTCATAAAAACGCTATGGCCGTGTGCCGGATACGCAATACGTACCAGGAATTAACGCTTGCCAAAAGTCTCTAATTACTCACCCAATATACGTGTCTCCGTCTCTCTTCATACTATTCATAGTACACCGCGCAGCCTGAATTTCAAGAAAGGGTGTTAAAATAAGATTTGAAAGAAAATGTACATGTTCTGACTGATGAAACAGTATTTCCAGTTCATTGAACTAACGTAATAAGGATGTGTGGCACCTTGAGCAATATTAACACCATAAAGATGCAAAGTGAAATGTTTGAAAAGGCCACGAATTCGGGCTTTTGTAAAACATTATGACGTACATAAGATATTGTTTTACGCTTCTGCAAAGATTTCACAGACGTGAAAATTTATAAAAGGACAGCGGCTTTAATTGCGATTTGAAGCAGATTGGGGGTGTTGTCGATATGTTGCATATTGTTTACTCATGTTTCAGAACGTAACAATCAAAGATATGTAGATGTATTGACTTAAGTAGTGGCTAATGTGAAAACAGGGCTAAAAGTGGACGCTCTTGCCCCTTTAGGTTTACCTGAGGAGCTTAAAGTGTTTACTGGTGCCCCAAAAATGTAGTTAGGTAGTTACATAATAATAATAATATCTCTTTTGCGATGAATAAGTTCTTAATTTCTAAATCATCAATAAAAGAGAACTAAATTTTATTTACTTGTAATATACGCAACTTAAAACAGTTGTTTATGTAACTGTAACTCGTGGCTTACTGTATTCCAAACAATAGAGGGTACGAGTCTTAAGAGTTCTATTTAATTGCCTAACTATAGAGAGAGAGAAATGGGGTTTAACGTCCACTCGACACAAACTAGGTCATTTCGGGACTAACATATGGTTTAATTTTATTTACATAATTCGCTTGCGCGTAGGGGTCTTTAGCAGTGGGAGGAAACCGGAGGCCCCGGAGAAGCCTAACTATAGACACTCTGAATTTAAATTCGCTGTTAAATTGGACACATTCAAGAACACAATATTTTTTTATACAACTTTTACAAAGTATAATTGTGTGCCCAAATTTTCCCAGCTCGTACGCCTATGGTGTTTAGAACTGTCACACAAAAACAGAGAAGTTAAGCTATAAGCGAATTTAAAAACAATGTATTTCTGACAGGTCTGTAATTTCATCTTTTAAATATAATACAAATACAGGGTTAAATTATTATAAAATCATCAGATTTGTGAAAGATTCGAATGAACGCGAAGAAACTACCACGAACTCGTCGCACACTATGATTTGTATTTCATGAGTATTTTCAATGGAAAGAAACCTAAACCATTGTCCTGATCATGTAGACGATCTAATGACCTATATTTTAAAAATCCTTTCCGTTTTCTAAATTCTTACCAGTACATCTCCAGGTTTAACTTCTACCAAATTGGTCACATTATAAAATGTCTGAAAATGAAAATATAATAGAATAAGTAGAGTTTTGACAAAAAAACAATAAAAAAAAAAAAAAATCCCCCCCCCCCCAAAAAAAAAAAAAAAAAACAAAAGGAAAAAAGTCCCAAATCCCGAAAATTAATGAAAAACATTTGTTGGAATTAAAGTAGCAGTCCCATATATATTTCAGTGAATAAAACTATCTGATAATTTATTGAAACAATGCAGAGTTAATTACCCGTTATACAAGTCTAGAACGATTATTTCCTAAACGCTAAGTATTTCAATTTCAGGCATGTCTTGTGGAATCTGGAACTGCTCCTTTAAGGGTCGTAGTTCAATTAATATTCCGATTTTAAAGCATAGTTCAGAAACTAATACAGTGGTTCTCAACCTTTTGCCAACGGCACACATTCGAACACATGAAAAAAATAGCGGCACACCTGGCTAATAGCAGCACACCTGAATTTTGCAAAATGAAAACATGGTAAGTCAGACGGAATACAACCGTACACAGAGACTAGTCATAGAAACATAGAATGACTCAAATAAAATAAAGACAAACACAGCTATGAACTTATCAGTAATAGACACCAGTGAATAGTGAATACTCAATTGGGATCACGTATGGTTTTGCACATTTTCTTAGTGTGCCGTTCAAAATTTCGCGGCACACCTGTGTGCCGTGGCACACTGGTTGAGAATCACTGAACTAATATATAGTTGGATGGCAATATCTGGGAGTGCTTAATTGATTTAACTCAATAATCCGCATTGATAGAATTATGCGTGGTAAAAGGTATATACATTTGTTTACTAAGTTAATCAGAACTTTGGTCTAGGGCATTGTCAAGCAAAATGGTTTTGTTGAATTATCCGATCATATGTTTTTCAGACATTGTGTACTCTAAGTCTCTGAATTCTATCAATACTGATAAAAGTTGAACCGGTGACCTTTATCTTCTAGCACCCCGGTTATTATTTGTATCTACTCTCCATTGTAGGTCCTGCCTGCTTTCGTGTGTTTTCTGCAGTAAAATTTAATAAAAATACATACATACCTCGGGCAATTGTGGTGACATACGACCTACTTCTATCCATCTGCCACCTCTTATTCTGTACCCAGAAGTTACAACACCTTTAGTAATTATAATACAATGCTCATTATACTTTTGAAGAATGTTGACGTCACTGATATCCAAATTGTATCAGGTGAGCCTAGAAAAACCTTGTACCAAACACCCATTACCACTTTATCTAAATATTAGTTCATTACAATATTTCATTACAGTTCTGGTGTTTATTAAGATTCTTTAATGATTAAGAGAGCTAAATCTATTTGTTAAGGCCTGCTCAATTTTTGCCAAGGTCGTTGAGATGTAAATAAAGTTAGGACACGTGATTGTTGGCGAGATTGTAGGTTAGGGTTAGAGTAAGTTTTGGGGCTAGGTCCAGGGTTAAGGTTAGGGTTGAGATTAGCTCTAGCCCTGTTTACATCTCGTGACCTAACGGCTTAAGAGGCATTATCACTTTTAACCTGAAATTTTTATTTTTGTATTTTATATACTCTCATATAATCTATATTTTACACATTATATTGTATCCAAAAATAAAACAAGACTACGCCCATTTAAGTCGAAAACAAATGAATTACGACAGTGTTGTTTGAAACTGTAATAAAAACTGAAAGGGGAGACTTCCAATGTTGTGCTCCGTAGTTTGTCAGTAGCTTTCTGTACGTGACGGAGAAAACATTGACAAATCATATACATGTAGTGATTACCTAGGTTATGTGAATGTGTTCTGTAACCTATTGGATATATAGGATAATCATTCGCATATTCACACGCCGTTTCCATAGGGAAAGCTGAAATAAAACAATTTTATATTTAGAATCCAGTATGGTTATTTGCTGACTTATAGACTCTTTATGTGTGTCCAACCAAACATTAACATAATGTGCACACCGCGCGATTTTTGTCCAACCGAGTTTCGTATAAATTGAGTTTATTTACTAGACCTTCGTAAATCGACAACTCTGATTGAAAACTACAATATTGTGAAATTCGAATCTCTTTTGGAATTTCAGTCGAAAATATTCCGTTCGGTATTTACTAAGATACGGCGAATGGAAAATTCCATTGATCTTTGCTGCTCCCTATGTAACACGACGACCGCCACCTTTATTTGCCGTTAACCAAATTGATGGGCCCGTTTCAAATCCGATTGAATCCAAGCTGGGAGATTATTTTATAGAGTTTGTATTTTAATTTTTTTTTAAATATAAATGTTGAACACTCTGAATACATAGGCTATTAGCGTGAATTAAGCCGTGATATTTTTCGAAAAATGCGAATCGCTGGTCGTTACTTTAGTATTTTCAGACTATTGTATAGAGTGTACCAATTCCTTTTCCTATTAGTTCAGATATATATTATGACTTATGTATATAGACATACCTAAATGTTTTGGTGGAATATAACCCGAAGTACCAATAACATAAAAACCAGCTTGTTTTGGTTGCCTTTAAAAAAGATAAGAGACATACTAGTAACACTGAGGTTATATTTTGATTTCAGTATGCCAATTAAAGCAACCCCTCCTTGACGATCGGATAACGATTTAAAATAATGGCAATCAAAAGAGACCCATTAGAGGCTTAACGCATAAGTCAGAAAACCCGGATGCCCAATGAAAATCTAAGAGGCTAGACAGGCGACCCTTCTCTATGTCACCCACGAGACTTATGAACTAAAATGCACACGTTATAGCACTTGCACACCCCATCCCGCCGTTTCAATATACTATTGCCTTTTTTCGCTTACCTTGTACGAGTCATTTGAAGAGTGACGCCACTATTGTCAGATCTGCCAACTGAAACATAGTTAAAATAGTAGCATGTATTTCTTGTCACATTGTCGGGTTTCAATAAAGAGAGGCCCCAGGCTATCGACAAATGGGACCCCTCCCAATCTCCCACCTTCGGGACTAGAGGAAAATGAAAAGTGTGTTTAAAACACAACTGAGCAAAGTCGAGAATGATGACGCTTGAGGCCCAAGGCTTCGGCCCGTGGGTAAAATAAATTCAACGCTGTTTTTTCACCGTAATACAATCCTTTAATCAAAGGATTCGCCACTCTTTTGGTTTGTAGATTAAGCGCAGTGATTATCCTTAACTCAGTTTGGAACACCGAGGAAGTTATCGCAGTGTGTGGGGAAATCACATCGATCTCAGAGTACTACGTCATATTATAGGTCGTACGGATTTCCCCTTAGTTTTCTATTTGTAAATCGCGCAGAAGTTTGAAATACATTGCAATTTTCTTTTCTTTTTTATTTTGATATCCATTAATATATAATGATCATAGACAAATGTGTATTATATTGTACTTACTTGAAAACTTTTCTTTATAGTGCAGTTGTATAATTATATAGTTGATTCCAGTTGTTCCACCAACCCGTAAACCAACCCCTAATATAAAAGCAAACCACTATACCAAGATCAATTAGGCACTGTTTCTTTTTTAAGTACATGCATTATCAAATTGTTGAAAATAGCTCCGAAATTTTCTTTTGGGAAAATGAAAGGTATGTTCATTAAACAGCTTTTCTGAAATTGTTTTTTTAGTGATATATATGTGGCATCATTTATAGGTTAAATCGCTAACTCAATATCATCCCTAGTCTTCGACATTGCAAACAGTATTATGGCGTAGACATGACAAAGTAAGCTTGCCGTCAATGAAGGCTGGTATTATACATTGCTCTATATAGCAAATTTACTAGCAAATTGTTGGGATTCCAATAATTGTCTGGAACTGTTATAGATTAAAGTGTGACCTATTTCACATAAATTTGTTTTATAGCAGAGTTACTATTGACTTAAATATAATACACATTAAGTTTTTAAGTTTTCCGATATTAGTTTATGTTAAACTTTGAGGTATTTGATTGAGGGTTGCTACACTGCCGTATACAACACAGTTACAGATTAAGTTAGCGTTTCGCGGGATTCTGTTAATCTTTTACTGATTTGTATTCCTTTATTGACTTACAGATCAATTTAGAGAAATTCATTTTTACAGAATGTATGCCATTGGTTTATATTCAAAGAAATGTATTCGCTTACCAGTCTTTTATATATGAAGCAGTTGATATGCATTGCTTCAGCAATTTCATAATACTTTCATAACAGATCCTGTTTCGTTTCGTATTTTATTGATTAATCGATGTCTGACGTCATAGGGCCAAAAGCCGCTCGTACGACCCCTGACACAACCTTCGAATACAACTTGTCAGATCTTCATGTAGTGTAGGCCATCGAAAGTATAAAAAGACGAAACGAAATATAGATCTGTATTTTAATTAAATTGACATGCTTATTGTGTTTTGTAACTTAGTCCACGAGTTTTAACATTTGACGATTCCCAATTGCAAAACAATACTTTAAAAATATTACCACGATGGAACAGTTCTATGCCAATGTAGTATAAGAATGACATTTGTATTTAGCCAGAGTGTTTCTGTCCTCGAATGCTGATTTGATCATTTCTTTAAATGTACAATACATTTGTGTATTGTGTCTCAGCTAATTCGTTACGCGAGAGCTTGTTCCTTTTATTCTGATTTTTTAAGTAGATTGAGGCATTTGTCATCTAAGCTTCAACTACAAGAATACTTGCGCACTAAACTTATTAAAACCTTTTAAAAGTTTTATGGCCTTCATATTGATTTGATTGGTAAATATAACGTGTCTCTCTCGGCTATTATTCTATATATATTTAATTGACACGTATACTATTACTATCTCCCTGATAATGTCTACTACATCGTTAACACAGTTCATCGCGTGCATTTTGCATACCGATAGTTCATTGGCCAATCACGCTATTTTACCGACATTTCGCCTAATAGTTTGGATGCAGCTATGGCGGGTGTGGCGCCAGGTAGGGTAAGCTTACTCTTCCGGACATCTGTTACCACTGTTTGTCGTGTATTTTGTACACGAGGAGCAGTCCATTTGCTGATTACACTATTTTGCTTGAATACACTATTTTGCCTTTAACGTTTTTTAGGACTTCGAATTCTGTCTTATGGTTTGGATTGTTCGTACTTGGTTTTATTTTATTTATTAATAGAAAGTACGATAAACTTCAAATGACCAATCGACTTATTATAACTTTATATCACTTTACAATAAATTTACAATACCTTTAGGGAATTGGAATGAAGGAGCGTCAAGCGCCCAGGCAAACACGACCTGTTTCTGTCCCCCTTCACATACTAATGTTTCAGGATTTTTATAATTCTCTGAACAAGCCCTGGAAAACATTATTAGCTACAATAGGACATATAATTAATAGCCCAACTTTTAAAGACAGTGATTATCTGAGATCTCAATTCTTTAGAAACATTAAATGTTACGTTGTCTCTTCTGGATAAAATAGTTTAGTTGTCCCGTAACGAGATTGGAGCCCCAAACATTTATAGGAAAATATAATCACCATATGTCGGCATTGTTCTCCAGAAGTTTCATTTTGCTAACTGTGTCTGATCTGATGCGCACTTAATACCAAACGTTATGCAAATTATTATTGAATTTGTAATCCCACAGGGAGCATATTATCAAATGGCGAATTTACGATAAATAGTTCTATGCAATTCTCAGTGTATGGACTGTTTGGACATTGATAGAAACATATTTGTTTATAATTACGAATAAAAACAAATGAGTTTTCGTTTGTAAATACTGAATAATGTAACCAACGTAAAGAAATAATGATTTCGCAAAAATCAAATATCATGGCTATTTTTTATGGAATTAAAAGATACATTTTGTCATAAAACAGATAGCAAGCTCAAACCAACCCAACACGTACAGAACAGTCATAAACGTCGCCAGAATTTCAGTGAAAATGTTTGATTACATTTATCAATTAGTATTGTTTTTAAATTTTAAAAAATTATTAGTCGTTCGGATGGGGCAAAAAAACGAGCTCCCGTGTACACATTGGTGTGCAAGTAAAAAGAACCTTGACTGTTAGAATTCGAAACAAGAGTAGATCGTAACATCGCTGTCAGGCAAAATGTCCCTCATTATCCCCCCCCCCCCCATAATTAGGACATTCGGAACCCGTAAACATCTAAGTGGTAAATAAACCACCGGAAATATTCTAAAATAAGTAAATTCAAATATTACCAGTATGGTTCTTCATTGTTGGCTATTTCTCCACAACCAAATACCATCATATGGTGAGCAACGTCAGCAGTAGCATGGGGTATATAACTTACTGAAATTATTTGTGCAAATTTTAAATCAAATTAACAATATTATAGGTATATGCAGTATACACTGGAGCAAAAGAGGAAGAGATAACACCTGGAATAGGAAGGCTGTCTAAGTTTAATTTACGCTCCGTCAATATGACAGAAATGTTCACCGGGGATAAAACACGTTTGTTGCTATTTCGTTGAAAATAGCAAATAAACAGGCAAGTTATTATTTACGGAATAATAATTTACAGAATATGTTGAGCTAAATCCATTTATTTTACATATTTTTTAAACAGTATATTTCATTTTAAAAGTAAGAACGGATCCACATTTCCGCTGGAATTGGAACAATCATTCTGAAATTACCTATGTAAGATTCTCTTGGATCAATTCTAACAGCATGACATAACAAGGAATCGGGCTGTAAAATAATAATGACATTTATTATCTATTAGGGAAGAGTTTACATAATTCAAAGCTTTTGTAGCATTGGGACATTGGACTGGACTGCCATCACGACTGTACCTCCTGAACAAAGTACTATCTAAGGACTATTTTCTTCTTGTATAACATTCACAACAGCTGGCGTCATAGTTTCTTTATTTCCAAATGAAGTTGTTCTGTATTGTGGGAATTAATTTAATACTACACAGGGAATAGATTATTCAGAATAATCAACTGCTGGACGTTTTCTTTACGGTTATTTCTCAAATGAAATGAACAGAGTTTAAAGACATATACAGTAATTCTAGAAATTTCAATATAGGTCTATATGGCACGTTAGCTATCGTCTTATCTATAAAATACCGAAATACGTATAAGAATGAGATAAAATATTTCAGAAAGTTTTGTAGGTCATTATTTTTCTAATATACAAATATGACCATACACCTTTTTTCTTTTCAAACTAAAACATTTGAACTTAATTGAATAAATGACTGTATAGATTATCAGAAACGGTTAACGACGCTACACGTACGTACAGTTTTGGAATGATCCGAAATAAATGCTTACCTTTTCTGAAACGGCATCTGGCATACGAATTGTGAGATTATAAGATTCGGTATCATAATCCAATTCATCGCACACAGATAATCTCATAAGAGACGAAAGAATCAGTAAGGACACAATCATATCTCATGTGTAACGAAGGTGTTCAAGGAATTATGATAACGAGCTCTTTCCGGTGTTCTATTTAAAATCATTATCGACATTTCACACGAGCTACGTGATTTGAACAATCTATAAAAGTATATAACCAATTATTATGGTCAAATAGCGGTTAATATGATTTTTTAGAAGATTTGGTTTCAATCTTGACATTTATAATATAATATGACGTCAAATGGTAGTTTTACATATATCATTTTACTGTGCAATCTTCATTAATCGTATATCAATTGCAATTCATTTTCAATAATCAGGAAATATATATATGTATAGACACTTAATTGAAATACTATATCGAAAAACCGATGCAAAAGTTAAGCTTGAAAAACTATAATCTATAAAATGGAAACTTATTAAAGATACATTATGGCAGATTAGATAAAGAGCTGGCAGTTCCCACTGTAATAATTAAAAACTAGATAAAATAAAGGGAATTTGATAAAAATTTCAGTCAAATTAATCCACCCTGAACCAAGATTTTAGCGATTGAATTCTGGGTCAAACCTCGATCATCATTACTAAAGTCGGTACGATAAAAAAAACATAGTCTCGATTATCCATTTTTTGATTTAATTATCAATGAGCGTTAAGCAACAGGTAAGATTCTAATCTGGAAAATATCGCAGGCTAAAGATGACATTGAGGGTTGATTATGGTCTGGATAAGTTAATTAATGTCTTATTAATAATTTAGATAACATTTCAGGCCTAAAGAAAGACGTGCAATGGGCAGAATTAGCTTTTGCATAATGTATGTTTAATTGTAGTATAGAATATGATACTAATACTTGATCGTTGCGACCAATTTCATTCTTAGGTATGTAATTGCGTGTAGAATAAACAGCAAAAAAGTTTATTTAAAATTAATTTAATTAGAACAAACAGCTAATTTAAAGTTAATTTAATTAGAACAAACAGCTAATTTAAAGTTATTTTAATTAGAACAAACAGCTAATTTAAAGTTAATTTAAGCAGTTTTTCTTTTTCTGGGTGCGTTGTGTATTGGATACAGGTCTGTTTTGGGTATATTATTTAGTTTCGTGAGAGAATAAATTTATCGCATTTCTTTTTTAGAAACGCAATATATAATGTATATGCATTCCAAAAATCGATAGGCTCTTCTTGAAGCATTTTTGTTATATTAATTAATTAGTAACGTTAAATAAATAATTTAGTAATTAATAATGATTGAATTTAAAGCGAGGAAAGGAATTTTGACATGCTTCTTTGGCTTTATTTAATTCCAAATTCGATAGTATGGAATCCATCATATCTAGTTACATTTTTCATTAACATCTTTTCTCATCAACATTTTTTATTTTTCCTTTGTAAATAGTTATCATTACTGATATTAATATTATGACAATATATGTGTTCTGTTTAGTGGGCAGATTTGTAGACAGCCCCTATAGACCTAAGTCTCAACCCAAATAAAGATTTGATTATTATTATTATTACATGACATTTTCTAGGCGTTCGTGCAAATGCATACGTCATCAATAACTGATTATTATGATGTATTTCTTATTATGAGTCATAATACTATGGATTCAGCAACTATTATCATTTTTATTAGATTCTGATACAATTAAGGCTTAGTATTTTTGTTCTTCGGTATTCGCTAAAAATGTTTCTGTTGTTACTACAATATATGCGCCACGAACCACAGACAGAGAGTGAATCTACATCGGAAAGTGATTCTTCAACCCAAAATTCTTCTTCGATATCAGAAATCTTTACTTTTCCAGAAACAACTTCAGAAATTTTCACTTCGTCAGAAACAACTACGGAAATCATCCTTTCTCCAGAAACAACTACAGAAATCTTCACTTTTCCAGAAACAACTACAGCAATCTTCACTTCCACAGAAGCAACTTTAGAAATCTTCACTTCTCCTGAAGCAACTACGGAAATCTTCACTTCTCCTAAACAAATTTCAGAAATCTTCACTTCTCCAGAAACATCTTCAGAAATCTTCACTTCTCCAGAAACAAGTGCAGAAATCTTCACTTCTCCAAAAGCAACTTCATAAATCTCCACTTCTCCTGAAATCTTCACTTCATCAGAAGCAATCACTGAATTCATAACGTCTGCCGAACTAGTAGCGGAAATCACTGTTTCGTCAGAAAATATTTTCATATTCCGAAACTACAGCATCGCTGGAGGAGGTTTAGAATGCCCAATTTCTGATGGGATTTATATTTATAATGGGTTGACATGGTAGATCTAACGGCTTATGTTGTGTATCTGTCAATTAAAAAATCTTGTCAAGTCGTACATTTGAAAAAGATTGGTAAATTGGGCATGACGATTTACCCAACACCACCCTATACACACCCAAAACCAATAACCACATGCAACCTCATTATTGAAAAAACCCACTAACATCATAATTCAGTTCTATATAAAGAAAAGTAAGTTAGTTAATGCTTGTGAAACTTGTAAAGAAATCTAACAGCTAAAGTGATGGTCAACGTCTCGTTATTAAACTGTTATCTCTCTTGATCACCCAATACAACCTTAAGTTCTCTGAGACGCGTTTTCGAAGAAATACAACACTTAATGTCTGTTTAGATGTTTGCATGGCCTCTTATACCTCGCGAACTTGAACATATTTTTGTCTAAGCTCCGAGTCGGAATCTTTATAAGACATATAGAAATAGATTTCTCAAAATAAAACACTTGTATGGATATACTACTTCTGAACTTTAATAATATGTATGTCTATTGAAACGTAACATGTTATTAACATTCAGAAGTAGTATATCTGTATAAATGTTTTATTCTAAGTCTGAAATAAAAATATCTAAAAGTTGCGTTTCTTCGGCCTACCAATGCCACAGCTCTCCGCATACTATTATGCTCATTTCCGATTTATTGATTTGTGTTGAAACTTTCAGACGGGATAAGTTTAGGTAATTGCCTTTTATTTGCTTTTGACGTTTGATTTTTAAAAGCTTACACTACTTAAAAAAGTCAAAGCCACCAAATGCTGAGGTTTTTTTTAGTATATTCTGTGACCATTTTGCAAAGGACAGCGAATATTGCGAAATTTTCATTTCAACATACCGAATAGCAACACTCCCCATATAATACTGGAATACCCCGAATTCAGGGCCTGGTTTTGAAATTTGTATAGCTCGTAAACTTCTCGTTACGAATATTAATATTTGGATTATAACTGATGGTATGAAGTTATAATCTTTCTCAAAATAATAATAGTCCAGTAAGTTACATCTACTTATTATTAATAATAATATCACCACCGCTTTCTCTTCAGTACACCGAACATTAACAAAAGGCAAACTAATTCAAGTCATTTAAACTGTTGATTAAAGTAACTTTGATACCTGATAATAAACTAACCATTGTTTGGGATATTTGGGTTATCTCACGTCCGGAATTTAGCAAGCAATCAACGGATTTATAAAAGCTTTATCCACGTTATTAAGGTTTCGGCGGCAGGGACTATAAATCCGGACTAAATGGGATACACATAACTGAATCGAATGTCAGTAGGGTATTCACATTGTAGCTGATCAATCTTAGTAACATCAATCTCAAGTCTCTGAGTATGCTAGAAATGGTTCCACTACTGATGCCATCCGTCTTGCTCCAGCCACAATAGTGAACCGTCCTCAGGCCTTCACTTGACTACAAAAACGTTACTGGCCTATAACTCCCTTAATTTCTAATTACACTGACCCAAACTTACAATATTATAAACCAATTCCCATTGAAATAAAGGTGAAACCTTACTGCATAATTATAAGATTCTATTAAACCCAATTGCTATGCGAAATTTGTGTTCATTTTATGTCACTTTAAAACTGTTCGGTAAAATAAGATTAAGATTTCAGTGTTCCATTCTTCACTATTTGTATCTATTGTAGCCGTGAATAAGAATGGTTCAAGTTTATTTCAATAATTCGCTTGCGCGAAGGGATCTTTAGCAGTGGGAGGAAACCGGAGGGCCAGAGGAAAACCAACGAGGTTGGACAGGCGACTCTACTCCTTGTTAAATACAACCGGGGAATCGAAACCACGCCAGTTGACTCAATGACAGACCTTATGATACAGCACACACGTGCTAAGCATTCGGCCATCCAACCCCCACTTCAAGATTCGGGGGCAGGAGCAATAAATAAATGCACGTGTCTAATGTCTTTATGGCTGGTCGATATATTACAGAAACGCATGTTTCACAATGTACATGATGGATACTGATGGAAGTTTATCTTTTCTTTCTCAGGTGGGTGTTCCCTGAATTGTTGGGCTATTTATAAGAGTCCAGTCGTACAGGTGTGAATTAAGCATGTGTTTTCTTATTGTGTCGATCAGTTTTCTGTATTATATAATTTCCGATCTGGACGCCTGGTCCCACATGGCGATTAGTCTTTGTCGCGCAGCGACCCATTTCAAATTCCGGGTACTACATTTCAGCGACTGCCCATAGGGTAGGGAATGACGATATTTTTTCACCCCTTCAAAACGGCTGTGTATTGAGGACAGTACGTTACTGATTTGAAAGAACAGTTAAAGCTTTGACTAGAAAGGTCGAATTACGCGGATCAATCGGGTATGGGATGCATATATCTGTCCACAATTTTCGTAACAGAATTCAAGTTACTCCATTGCGCCCTGACAACGTCATTCGGCGTTTTACACGATCGATACCATTTTAGATAGGCGTGTATGCTCGCTATCTGATTGACGTTTATCTGGATCGCTAGTTTGGAGGTCGGGCTCTCGATCCCTGCATTGGCCGAGAAAGTTCATCAAGATTTTCCGGCGTAGTTACCCCTTGTCAGTGATGCAGGACGGGGGGGGGGGGGCTGGCAAGACAGCTGTCTGGTCGTTCGGATGGGACGAAAAACCGAGGTCCTGTGTACACATTGGCGTGCTTGTAAAAGATCCCTTGACAGTTGGAATTCGATATAAGAGTAGGCCGTAGTGCCGCTGTCCGGGCAAAATTTCCCTCATAGCACACTGTATGACGTATGCCAGTTCGGAGCGGTAGGACGTTAAACCCCATTTCATTTCGACGTTTCTCTTATGCGTCTTTTTAATACGCACCTGGGGCCTGGTTCACGAAATTTTAACTAAGATAAAATCCAAATTTTAGTAATTTGATTTGATAATATTAGACTGATTGTTGTGCTTAGCCAATCAAAATTGAAGTATCTACTAAAATTTGGATTTTATCTTTAGTTAAAATTTCGTTTAACAGGACCCAGGTGTATGATATTGGCAGAACTGTATATTACAACATGGTCAGACAATATCGTTATCTAATATGGCAGGACTTTTTATCGATTGCATTGGAACATTAACATATTTTGAATTCTTGTGTTTTTGACATTATAAAATCATTAATGATTGTGAGAATAAAGTAATCATGACCATTTATAAGAATAATGTATGAAACCGGAAAGTAGAAATACTGCCGGTCTTGTCTTTTGAGGTATGGTATTAGCAAATGGCAACCTATTTGAGAAATTGCAGGTTAACGTAAAGTTACACTAAACGATGTATACGTACACAAGAAAGTATTTGGAATTAAGGTGTCAGAAATCCATCAATCGGTATTATTTTTGAAGTGTGTGTCTTTCATAGAGTAGATTACTCTAATGAGAAAGGAGTCGACTATGTGTAGTAGCTGCGATGCACAATTTGGAGTGATCAGAGGGAAGGAATTTTAAGAAGAAAATCCCCTTTGTCCGTTTTAATTGCAGCCTCTTGCAAGGTATCCTATAAGCATTTATATCGAGTAAAAATTGTAAATATGACAATAGCCGACTATACTTATGGTTTCCGATGAAAAATGATATAACAATTCTTATTAAAGTATAAGTGTATAAAACCAAACATTAAAGGAAAGAATATCAAGTAGAATCACTTTGTTTTAAGTCCTTTAGTTAAGGGCGGTAACTTATTATGTTGTTGACGATAATATTGAGACGATTTTGTTGAAGCTATCGTTTTCTGGCTTAATAACTTGTCACTTCCATCCATCAGCAGCGCTCTACTTTTTATAGCCGAATAATCTGCAACTAGAAGGGGGAAGTCAGATCCTCTCCTTCGACGTCTAGTACTTTTTGATTCGCCCGTGCCGTCTGTCTCTGATAACGTCGGATGTAATGGACTGCAATTTCCTAAGACTCTGGCTCGATGAACTTCCCGCCAAAATTCATTATCTGCAACTGAAAATATTCTGTTATATGCGGGTGAGGTTTCTGTAACACTCAAATTGTTCGAGTCATAGATTCTTTCAGAAGAACTTTTATCTGGCTGCACGTTTGGAACTGGCTCGCTTGTACTCTCTTCTGGTACGTCGTATCCGTAGTTTATAGTGTAATATAATGAATTTCTTCGTAATGGTTCAGTTGGTTCTTTGATATCTTTCTCCGGAGCGACGCCATGTTCGGTTACACCGTGCAATTTAGCTAGCTGATCCACGAGTTTAAAGAGCTGATGTGTATTTGTTGAATGTTGGAGTTTCACCAAATCGGAATAACATACAGCAGCTTTTGTTTTTTTCTGTTTCTTTTTCGAATAAAAAATGACACCCATATCATCAAGCTTAGGGCTGTTATTTGTATGGTGGCTTCTTTCGTTTTGCAAATTTTTAGTCAAATTTATCATTGGAGATTGTTCAGTTTTATCACAAATTGGATCGTCAATGGAGTCACTGGAGTCTTTGATTTCACTAGAATCTTGATTTATGTCACTAGAAATTTCCGGACATTCCTTCGTTGACTCGTTTTCGCCACCAAGTTCTGTATCTTTTTCTTTACTGTCAACTTCAGTTTCTTCTGTAATGACATCTAAAGTTAACACATTAGGAACTGTCAGCTGACTTTTCTGCTTCAATTCTTGTTCACGTTTTTCTCGTTCTTTTCTATTGTGACGCAATGTTTTCGTGTAATGTCTCATTGAACGACGTAGTAAATTTTGCTGCTTGCTTATATGTTTGATGTTTAAACTCATGTCGGTATGATATATTTTCACCCATCTTTGACACGTTGCGTCATCTGCTGCCACTCGCGTCACCGTCAGTTGCTTCAATTCACTTTGTCGTAATTTGTTTAGTTGAAGAGTTGTTCCCCTTGGCCGCGTGTACTGTGTTCTAAAATAAAAGGAGAGACAAACAGATAATTATATGAAGCTTTTCATATTTAATTGTCCCTACTGGCGTTTCCGGGCCAAATATTGCTCAAACTTAGAACGAAGTTTTCAAAGTTCGCTTGTGGCCATAGAAAATTTAAGTAGGTGTGTATATTTTTATTGGGAATTATAAGTAATTCATCCATGACGTTATTGATATTTATATGGTAGGTATAAAATCAGTTGGTGTAAACAGTTATCTACACTAGATATACCACTCACTTTAATTATTTTTTTTTTTACAAACAGTATTTTATTCCAAGAAAACAATTAAGGAACAGGTCATAGGCCTATGTTATATTCAGAGTCAGTTGAATGAAGATTAACCTTATCAGGACCAGCCTCGCGAAATCTCAAATACATCTGTTAATGTTCTTCTAATAGTTAATCTTGATATTTTACTTTGAAGATTATTCTCAACAGAAAGGGACGTGTAAAGCGTTTCAACTGGCTGAAGATCCAAACAATCATACTTCCCAATAAAAATATGAATGATTAAATTTATGGTAAACGAGTGGAATGCGGAGAACTCTATTTTCAAATGGCTAATGTTCTTTATTTTAGTGGATAGGTCATCCTGCAAGCTTTATTAGTCCACACAGTATAATCTGACGGAACTGCAGGTTTGATCTCCCTCCGTTTGTCCGTCTATCTGTCAGTTGTGACGTTTTTTTTTTTAAAAAAAAGATATTTATTTGAAATTTGGACCATTGATTATTTATTGTTAAACTTTGAGTTATTTGATTGAAGGTTTGTGCACTGCTGTATACGGATCATGTTCGTGTTTCGCGGGATTCGGTCTCGTTACAATATGAATTACAATATGTATTCGCAGTCTCTGGGGAGCCGCGGTGGCTCGGTGATTCAGACTTTGGCCGTGAAAGATCATTGGGACTTTCCTGTGTACCCCCTCCCCCTTGCCAGTCCTGCAGGACGGGGGACCTGTCAGGGAACAACGTATTTTTGTCCGGATGGGACGAAACACCGAGATCCGGTGTACATTTTGGCGTGCACGTAAAAGAACCATTAACAGCTGGAATTCGAAATGCCGCTGTCCGGGCAAAATATTTCCCTCATAGCACACTGTATGTTGTATGCCCGTCTTCATTAGTCGGTCTAAACAGTAGAACGTTAAATCCCATTTCATTTCATTTTACAGTCTCAGTCTGTTATCAAATATATGTTTCAGCAATACTCTCACAATACGTTTTTAGCCACGAGATGCACCTAACTACCACAGGTAAAATGTTTGGACCATAAATGGATCTTCTTAAATAGAAACATTGCGTTTATTATAGAAATGTTAATGTGCGTTTCACAATTTTCTAAAAATGTTCGGTTTTAACAGCTCGTGCAATACACAGTTCTTTCTATTATTTGAAATTTCTCTTTAAAAAAATTAATAATTACAATACACAAATATATTTTTGGTATACAAGGCGAAAGAATCATGAGCATTATTCTTGCAAAATATTCCTTATAATTTGAAATTGATACAAGTAATGATATTGATTCTTTTTCTTACCTTTTTCGGAGACTTGAAATTTCTGTTGCTTCCATCCTAAATAATTCTCTAAAAATCAATACAGATAAAATAAACTGATATTGGCCTTTACTTTAAACAATGTTCATGTCTATTCAAGAAACTCGATACAACTCAATAACTATCTTTTATTATCTTAATGTATGTCCAAGATAAATAAAACGTCTTCCTAATCCGGCTTAAAGATACATTGTATATGAAAATCAATCAGCTTATTTTTGATTGATTCTATATCCTGTTAAGTTGAACTAGGTGCTTGTTTTATACTCCACGGAACTCTAAACGATAAAACTTTAACGTGAAACTCACATAATATAGACATGCATAGGTTAGACATACCAATTAAAGGTCTATCAATAGTTAATAAAGTAACATTGGTCTGTTTTAGATCACATTGGTATTCAATATCTTTCGTTGTAATTTTTAAAACCGATAATTCCGATATTTCGATTAACTGATCACAAGTTTTGAAAGTTTTTCCAATCTTGTTTTATCTTGGACCCAAATCTTGATTAACCCAACAGAAGGTTAAGTTTTTTTTTCACCACACTATTTTGAAAAAATGATATGCCCACATGCTGATAATTTTACTGATTAACCCAACAAAAGGTTGAGTTTTTTTTTCTCACTACACTATTTTGAAAACATTATATGCTCACATGCTGATAGTTTTACTTTATAATGTAGGTTTGGCTTAAATGTTGATTAACCCTATATAATTTTTCTTTTCAACACACTACTTTTAAATATCCCCTGTTGCTAGCAGTTCTACTTTATAATGTAGGTTGTATGTGTATAATATAAACTTAATTCAAAGTAGAACTTCAGCATCTGGGCATATACTTTTTAAAAAAAAACAAAAAAAAACATTATATGGGGTTAATTAAGATTTAGGTCCATGTGAAGTTTTAAAACCGGACACTCGTTAACATAATTATTAAAATACTGACCAGAATACTCGTCGGTTAAATGCTAATAAATCACCAAGTTCGTTTACAGAAGCAACTTCCATAACTAGGACTCCTCAAATTTGAAGTGGTACAATGTTTTACTCGGGTTTAATATATATAAAAGACAGTATGTCTTATTACTTGTTCATTCAGCCCCAGTTCATATAAGCATTGACTATTCCCATTCCATTCTATTATACCATTAACTATATCTCGACCTGTGTATTATACGAATATAATCAGCACGAAAAGATTATAGGATTTTTTTTATATTATTATTGACTTACAGCTTTAATAGAAATTCGATCCTGCATGGCTTTGTTTAATTGAACAACCTATACACTGTGCGTCCACTTCAACAGTTCATAATGTTGATATATCACAATTTATATTTTCTCATCGGCAAAACATTGAAACACAAAAAACTCATTCAGTAATCGTTTGAAAGAGTTCCCCAAAGTAGATTATTAAGGTTTTACCCACAGGGGTGTGCAGGGTTTGGCTGATGTCCGAGGCCAACTATTCCGTGTCATCAGCATACTACTGCCGTTCAGCACGGCGATCAGAAATTATTAAGAGCTAATAGTTAATGAACTGTACAAATAATAAGACCAAATTTCTTGCAATAGATATTTGAAAACAAATAACTGGGAATGAGGAGTTCGCCATATTTCTTTAGACTTCGCAATCTTAGAGGTCACCATTTGCCGACAGAAGATCAATATTAGCATTAAAATATCCAAAACATTCTGTAAAAAGTAGGTGTGTTTTTGCTAAAGAATTCTTAAGAGGGTATGCAAAGCAAAGCAGTACTATAATATAATCATATAAGGATTATTTACCTTTACGACGATATTTAAATTCAACAATACCAAATACAAACAACAACTAAATTTACAACTATTTTACATAAATCCTGTTTTAAAAAAAAACCCACCAACTTCGGTGCATTTTTCTAATTTGCCTATAGGTAATTCGTATAATCTTTATACATTGTAATTCTAAACGGTCGCAGGACATAATGTGTAAGCGTTATAGACAATCTATGGTTGTCAATAGATAAGTTACAAGATGAAATTTAAGACCATTATAATCTTAAAGATCAACTTTCATACTTCATAATCGGTACACAAATAAATTGCATAAGAAATATTTTACCCTCGTGGAAAAGTTTGTGGTATTTTGAAGTCCCTTCTCATCGGAAATCGTAAAGAAACATACTCCCCACCCTCTAAATAATGAACAGTTGGAAACAATATGAATAGTTTACTGTAACTGGGGAAAACCGCAACATTTCTAAACACTAGCATATTAGGTTGATATCAGGAAGATAGACAAGGATCTGCACTTTATCCTCTACGCAATAGTAACTGATTCAATATAATCTCACAAACGTATTAACAATAACAAAACTGTTGAATAATTCATGTCTACCGAGTTCAAGAAACATGTTCACCACAAATATATTTTTAGTTCGACATATTTATGCACCTTGCGTATTAATATAGTATTGGTGTGATACCCATTATATTTTACAGGTCAAAGCAGTAACATTAACGTGATAAAAGTCTTCATTCGAATACACAATGTCGGTTGAGTTGCCTTATTGCAAATAGTGACCAACAATGAAAGATAAGATATTTTTTAATGAAATCATTCAAATTTGGATATGATCTGTAGAATATACATCACTATAAAACATATTTCCTAATTTCCTTGTCGGTGACTTTTTGAAATACGTTACGCCAAAAGAAAAAAACAAAACCCGCCCTTGTCAGTGTCGTGAGGCCCCATAATTACGCATCCAGTCGGTAATTTGTAGACGATAACAGAAGTTACTATTTACATTATCGAACCAGTTTGTGTTCGAGTGGCAATCTGACCCAAAGAAATAAATTACAATAATATTATATTAAATTGTTGTTGATATTAAATATCTATATGGTGTACATATTTTTAGTTATTACTTTTATCGATCGAGTTCGATAGATATATAATAAATATATAGTGATATCGTATTTTAATTGAAACATTATAATTAACCGGATGTGTGGGCAAATGGTGTAATATCAGTGGTGTAATATGGAATACACGGTAAGGTAAAGGCGTTTAATCGTTCGTACTGTGAACACGTAAAAGAACTGTTGATAGGTGGAATACGACGAAAAGCCAACGGAATTGTCAGGATAAAAGTTGCTGTCCTGGCAAAAATAATTATACTAATTGCACACTGCATGGTAGGTACTCTGTCTCCATCAGCTCGATTGCACGTAAAAAAAATAATTCTGGTAAATGAAATTCGATTAAGAGCAGGCGAAAACGTCACTGTCTTGCCAGAATTGTGCTCGTGACACACTGCATTGTGGATGCCCGTCTTCAGTAGCTCAATCGGTGCAGAAAAGTAAACCCCGTTAAACCTTATTTCATTTCATTTGGGAAGTTCACACAGCTACTATTTCTGTTCTACTCTTGTATTTATACACCTGATTATAATGATCTTTCTAATGCGACTGTTTATCAGAGTATTTAAGATTATACATTATAAAAATATAGCCATTGGCTATACTGATCAGTAAGATAATTATTGTCGACTGATAGGACAGATAAATCTGATCATTTTAAACGTAAAGATTCACTTCAATACTGGAAATACAGTTCAGCATTAATTTCGTCAGTCCTGATCATTAATGCAACTCAAATGACAATAACAAAATCCTTTGCTGAGATTATTACCTTTGTCTTAACTTGAAATCGAATCCCCGGTGTGCAAAACCCATTACATTTATCTTGTTGTATGCTTCATTTAATATCTCCCGATTTAAATCAGGATATTACGAATCACTAAACATTAATATTCTAATCACATCGCTTGAAATCACATCATAAAGATAAGTGTTTAGCGGTCGCTATACGCTTCAGATGTCACATATAGATAGACCGGTTTGTGCGCTAGTCTTTTTTGTAAGAGTTTTACTTATATTGTGGAATAACTATGGAACATCAGCTTAAATATTTGGAACCAGATGTATAGAAAAGGTATATACAATTTAACAACGTATGTGTCTATTGAGATTTACCCAAAATTCCTAATATTTGTAAATCGTTTGATTATGTTGTATGTTTACATGGGTAATATTCGAGATTATCGTACTTTCTCTTCAATTGATATTTTATTCACCCGATCTCAGTGTATACAAATCATTCCGCAGTGTCCTTAGCCTGAGAGATAATTTCTCATGAGTAGCCACAGAATCCCTTTCAAAATGAATTACCCGACCGGTAACAAATCAGTGTTTGATACACAGGCATGTACTGCGTGGGTCGGCATGCATATTGCCTTCGAGAATACATGGATTGGTTGAGACGATGATGTAGTCTGGATTAGACGTCCCAGTTCTAATTCAGTATTTCGCCATCATTAATGATTTATCATTAGTTAATACATAATTAAAAGTTATTTTATTATATAAGTTAATAAAGCAATTATAAGTTGTATTAATTATTAGTTTATACTTCAGTATTATTATAAGATAGCTTGGTTGTAAAGTGAACTAATATAATACATTTCATTTCAAACGATTTAGTTATAGTTGCTCATCTAACCGCACACAACTTTGACAGAGGCCCGTAAAGTGATCACTGATTTTTAATATGTATAAAATACTGGAAGACAACCCAGCGCCAGAAACGATTTGACTTCAGTCACAGAAAGTGCTCTTTCTCTGTTTGTGTAGCCTAATACATCTGTTATAGTTTCATTTACTTTGAATCAATAGTCGGAAATTACCTATATTTATATGTAACGAGTTTTCATTGTTCTGCTTTATTGTTTCAGCTGCTAAACTTTCAGTAGTGTAATGGAGAAATAACACAAAGAATTATAATCAGAAGAGTGAAAAATAATATAATGGCGTTTAAGTTTTATTATAAATATTTATCTGTTTGCCTAATTGGACTTTCCGTAATTCTGTTTATAGTAAAACAAACAGGTAAATATGATTTTATATGATTTTAATTTAGTGTTTTATAATTGTATGTCTACCCAATCCGTTCAGACGGACAATCTTGATATAATGATAAAGGAGGGAAATATAACTATGAATACGAACTATTTTATTTTTTTATAAACAATATTTTATTCATAAATAATTGGAATTGGCCTAGTTAACCACTCTCAAATTTGAACATAAACTATGTGCAAGTATAATCAAAAATAGTGATATTTACACGGTTTAGTGAAATGACTTATGGACAATGTGCTTCACTATTTTAATGATTAAAAATTCCTAATTCTAAGTCTTGGGAGATGTCGGAAACTGTATGCACCTTTTCAAAAACTTCATTTGAGTCTGTTATATTTTTAGCCCACACAGTAGCTCCACCCCACCACCTTCCAGCCACTAACACTTACCCCCACCCCACCCCCTCCTACAAATCAAAGAGCAATAATACGTTTTTTCAATTATATGTATGACCATATAAAGGATCTGAAATTGATTATAACAGGTTATGTTGACAGCAGACAGGAAGTAACATTGGCACCGGAAGCAGACATACACAGCCAACCTTTCTTTAGAAATAATGCATATAAACAATTCTCGTCACATATTTCTTCAACTGCTACTTTTGAGGTAAACTTTTGAAATATAAAATAGTAATCTGTTGACCCTGTGAGTAGTCCTCGTTGACAGAAGTGGGATCCGTCCACAAAATTACAAACATTAAATTTAATATTTTCGATACGTGTTCCTATACCACTGCCCGGGTAAAATTTCCCTCATAGCACACTGGATGGTGTATGCCCGCCTTCATTAGCCCGCCTTCTTTTCTGCGACAATCGGGCTATTGAAGATATACGGCATACGCTAGAAGAGTGCCATTTCTTCACCAAATTCAACTGTGAAGGATTCTTTTATATGCAAGCCAATGTGTACACTGAAGCCTGTTTTTTGTCCCATCTATACAACTAGACACTGTTCTTTGTCAGGCCCTTTGTCCTGCGCTACCGAAAGGGATAACCACGCTGCAAAATCCCGTTGAACTTCCTTGACCAACACCAGGATCACTGCACATAACCATAGTATTGAGAGGAATATGGCCGATAACCGGCACCACGATGTCCGGTTGTCGTGGTGTCGGGTTGTCGCGTTGTATGCCAGCCACCGTAATATGAAGCTTTTGTAAAACAGAATAAAGTCTTTTATGGGTACCTACGATTCATGTCTTTTTATAATTTCAGGAAGCTGAACAGCAACGCCGCCTCAACAGAATTGATGACGTTTGCAAAAGAATGTCACATGGTAACACAGAGAATATTTTGATTCATAAACCCAAGAAGATGAGCTATTGCGTTGTACCAAAGAACGGATGCACATATTGGATACGTGTTATGCGATATTTAAACAATGATACCGGATCAAAAATGATACACAGTCCTTTCGAAATGAAGAGGTTCGAAGCTCATGGCCTTCGTTATAACCAGACTATGTATCGGTTACAAAATAAAAAACACCGCGATGTCATTTTCAACACTACAAGGTTTATGGTCAGTAGAAATCCATTCTCAAGACTTCTTTCAGGCTACATGGATAAGCTGTTTTTACCCATGTATTGGGAATTTCAGGGGACAAAACTGATCAAGGCAGTCCGCTCTAATCCCTTAGAAGGTAGTTTGAAGTGTGGACATGACTTGAGTTTCCAAGAATTTCTTGATTATTTGATAATAGCAAGAGCCAATCCAACGAGAATTGACGGACATTTCCGACCCATACAATTTTACTGTAGTCCATGTTTATTCAAACCTAATATATTGGCTAAACAGGAAACTTTTAAAAAAGATTCAGAATATATACTTCAGAAATTTGATCTTGCTTATTTGGTTAAAAACTATGATCATAAATCCCACGTCAACGACGAACTGAGGAGTCTTTTGAATGAGTATATAGGTTGGCTTAATTCAAAAATAGTAAAAGAATGCATAGGACATGAACAATATCTTTTGAGAATTTGGAAAACCTTTCAAATTAATGGTTATCTCCCTTTAGGCTCAGAAATTGCATTGAAGAACAAAGCTGTGTCTGGAAAGGAATTTAAAAGGCTGGTCATTTCGTCTCTTCACCATGGAGACGACAGTAAACAGAAAATGAAAAAACAAAGACATGAGATGATGGTAGAAATGTATCGAAACGTCTCACAACAAACACTGAATGGAATTATTGACATGTATCAGTTTGACTTTGAGTTATTTGGCTATGAAAAGCGACCTAGTGATATTTTTAAGTGATGATAATTATATTTTCGATATTTAAACAACAGGTTGGTTGCATTTCGTAAAAGAGAATGACAGCAGAAAAGTGGTCTAGACCACGGTAGCTTTATTTGTATTGATTTTCTTTTAGAAAGGATTATATTTTGAAGAATGCCCTATGGACAAGAATTATGATACTTATCTGGAATGACCTGAACAAACAGTGAACATGCTTTATACATGAAGTGATTTAGACAAGTATCACTGAGATGGTCTATTTTTTTGCTTTACTTTTCTGCACTAACAGGGATAATTAAGACAGAGGTATGTGTGCAGTGTGCTAAGAAGGAAATTGTGCACCGCCAAAGTGTAAACGGGGACTCACGGTCAACACGGTGATTGAATCCGAACGAGCTGTGGTGTTGTACTAACTAAGCCATAGTTGCTCCCACGTTACATGAAATGAATGAATGAATGATAACGCCCTACTTTTCTGCACTAACCGGACTAATAAAAAATTCATACAGCTTCCAGGTTGATATGATGATATGAGCCAAATTATACCCGGACAGCGACACTTTCACCGACTCTTCACCGATTTCTAACTGTCAAGGGTACTTTTAGACAAGATTATAAACCTGTAATTGGTGAAATAATAAAGATAAAAACTCGAGGAAAATAAAGACAGCCAATTGACGTTTCTTTTACTCACGTTTAAAAAAGATAAGTATTATTGCAATGTCTTGTTGGCGACTAATTTAGGGTTTATGTGACAATATAATACACGATCTTAAAAGACGTAAAAAAATGTTATTTGATAGATGCATTAACTACTCAAAAGGTTTCTTAGTCAGAGAACTCGGTAATAAAATAATATCCTGTAGGATGGAGACGGTCACACTCCATAAACTCTGCTATGCGAAGAATTTTGCATCGTCAGCGGTGTTTCCTCCTATTTTATTCGTTGAACGCCAACTGTCAGGTTGTACGCTACCGGGAAGCCTACACGGGTTGGTCTCGACATTTCGTGCCATTCGACCAGCAGAACTCTTTTTATTGACAGGTCATCTGGCTTTTACCACTGACAATGGGTGCGAGGGAGGGGGGTGGTGCAGGATGGAAATACCAGAATAAACTTGAACGGCTTACACCGGGATCGAACCTGAGACTTCCTTCTTAGTGAGCCTTCTCCATACCCACTGACCTAGAATGGCTTGTTCCGGCGGAAACAGTTCTAAATTGGCGGGGGGGGGGGGGGGGCTACCATCCTAGGATTTTAGGCGAGGGTCCAGGGGCCGCCTAGGCTTGTCTGCGATATCACTTCTGTGGAAGCAGACGTCAAAGCACCAGGTAGTAGTAGTAGTAGTAGTAGTAGGGCCACCAAGGTCTCGAAAGCTCTTGGGGATCTAAGAAATCCCTCTCTGCTCATTGCTGGATTGTCTTCTAACATGTTTCGGGCATCGTTTATGTTTTGTGAATGCAGCTGCAGCAATCTGATTGGATGGTTGAAATTCGGGTCTGTATAGAGTGGGATTTCCGTCGAAAACCGATTGAAAGTTTGAAGTTGCTTAATTCACGGGCTAGATCTCGTTGTATCTAACGGCATAATTACTTGCGTGCATTAACCCGAAGAAAAGAGTACTTGGGGACAAATTATTTCTGTGTGGGGGAGGGAGGGTGAGGGGGCTTACCACCGGGCCTGATATCTCCTTCAACAAAGACAGAAGAAACATTTGAATGATATTTTAATCTCTCCACCCCATCACTTTACCTTAAAGATTATGGGAGATTACATAACAGGTGGCAGTTCTCACTATAATAGTTAAAAACTAGATAGTGTAAAGGGGATTTGCTGAAAAATTCAGTCAAATTGATCCACTCTGAACAGAGATTTTAGCGATTGAATTTTCGGCCTAGCCTCGATCATCATTACTAAAGTCGGTACGATAAAATAGATAGTTTCGATTATCCATTTCATGATTAAATCAAGAATGAAAGTGGAACAGCAAATGGTATTCTAACCCAGTAAAAATCGCAGGCTAGCGTTGACATCGAGAGTTGATTATGGCTGGATAAGTTAAATAATGTCTAATTAATACTTTCGATAACATTTTAGACCTAAAGAAAGACCTGCAATAGGCAGATTTGGCTCTTGCATAATGTATGTTTCAGGGGAAGTTGGTGAATATTTCATTAACATTGGACCGGTGTTACATGGGAGACGCACCCAGCTCCCCACCAAGACAACAAAATTATTTCGGTTTCTTATAGACCGGAAGCTCAGTGCGTGGTGGGGGTGGGGTGGGGGCCATCAAATGAGCACAAAACCAGACCCAACTTTTCTAGGGTAAAATTTTGCGTTGAATACGATGCCGAGTGGTAATCAATCCCGTTTTCGCGTTGTTCGGGGTCAAAGGTCAAATGAGGTCATTTGCACTGAAAGTGAATGGGCAGCCATTCTTGTATCACGAAAACATGCTGAAAATGATCGAAAGTAATCAACCTTTCAATAAAAATGTTAACTTGCTAAATTCACCCTTGACCCCGAATATGCAGAAAACGCCCCAACGGCGGATTTATTACCACCCGGCATCGTATTCTACGCAAAATTTAACTCTAGAAAAGTTGGGTCTGGTTTTGTGCCTATTTATTGGACACCATTGTGCAGTTATCCTTCATAGTTTACTCATGGTAGTTAAATTTGATTTAAAATATCTATATACGAGTGGAATGGAAGTCTTTTACCTGTGTAATTATGTGTGTCCAATATACTTTAAACACGAGATATGAAATGATGTTTGACATAATATCTATTATTTGATAATAGATATTGTCATTCAAGGTAGGACTAGTCCGAAAATCGGATGAATAGATTTATGAACTATTTAACAATCACTCTAATATGTAAAATAATAAAAATAATTATGGATAATGTAATAAAAATGAATAAAATACGCGATACAATTAAATTTTAGAAATGTTCAATAACCTTTTAACAAAAGTAATTACAAAAAAGCGGCACATCCACCTTTTATCAAAAAAAAAAAAAGGTAACTAAAGACGCCCCTCCCGCAGTAGCCTCTGTTTTGAATCAATTAACCAGTTTATACGGGAATTTATAATTCATTAGTTTTTAGTGGTAACTACATTGTGTACATTTATGGTAAGCGACAAGCATAGTGAGCCTAAGTATTAACACCAAGCCATGAATTTCTTAATAATTGTATTTTCGATTATTATTTTTGCTTTTCATTCACCAAAATGTTTGGCGGCAATCTGATAATAAAACATCCGCCGAATTTGTACTGAACTGACGGCATAATTTTCAAAATAAGGCCTCCGATATAGTGCTTAGCGCCTTCGTCACACGCGTGCAACCGGCTTTTCAGACCGCTGCAAAAAAAAAAGAGAGACTATATTGGACCACTTTCAAGTTGCTATACTCACGGCCTGGAATAGTAGAAAAAACGCATGTAGGGGATTCTTTACACATTTACAGTATTACATGATTAAATTCTAAGGTGTCTGTTAATATTGTTAATTAGATAAGTTATTTTTCCAAATACAGAACTACAGCTTCCTGTGGTTACCCGTCGTATATCAGAAGAGCATTGACCATTGTGTATTGGTTTTAAAAGACATTTGTCAGCAGTAGTGTGAATTGTCGTACTTAGTTCAAATAAGTATAATCTCGACTGCAATATAATTTTCAAAATATAGTTATAAATATAGGGAGAGAGAGAGAGAGAAATGGAGTTTAACGTCCACTCGACACAAACTAGGTCATTTCGGGACTAACATATGGTTTAATTTTATTTTAATAATTCGCTTGCGCATAGGGGTCTTTAGCAGTGGGAGGAAACCGGAGGATCCGGAGAAAACCCACGAGGTTGGGATAAATATAGGACACACAGCTGGTTTATATTTAATAAAATAAGGATTATACGATCTTTTGTGTGTAAGGTAAACATATATTGTTCATTATAACATAGCTTTATGGATTTACTATACCTCTTATCTATTACTTTATTATATAACACTCTTACTTTGTCGTAAATTTCAAACTGTAAACAATGATACCTTTCGTGCAACACTTGTTACATCGAACTTTTCCAACATCTGTGAATTGCGTAACGTAAATGTAAAAGCTGATTCATGTGATAAAACACTAAGAAAAATCATTGGTGATCTACTTCGGTTAACCACTAAAACATTTACTTTTAGACTAGAAAATGAGTGGAAGTAACAATCAAATTGCTGAAGCAAAACAAAAAATCAGAAAAGCTGAGAATAAGTGGCGCGAGATCTCTCTTCATATCCATAAACACCTTTACTGCGAAGAGAAAAACAAAGTCAAATATATAATTGTACAATCAAAAGTTTCTTTCTACAATGAAAAATATCAAATTTGTACCCAATATGAGACGCCAACGGTAGTGCTTTAATAATTTCGATTTAGTTAGCGAATCTCTTAAATCGCCAGTCCCTAAGACCTGCCCTCTGGAGCAAACAGATTTCTTTCTGGCTTCGATACCCCACTATTGAAAGAGTCTAGCCTTTGGTGTGGGGAAATATCAACGTCTGGATAGGACGGCGTGAAGTTTACCCAATACTACCCAACATAATTGAAGTATTATGTTAGTTTCCCACAATAATAAGATAGTATTTGGTAGTATTTAGTTACTACCCCACCACTGCAAATATCTAGAGGTGGTCTTTTTTGATTCATGTGAATGTGTTGAACCTTTTACAACATTTTCGTGTGGATAATAAATGAGCTATAGTGTTGTGGGGTGGGACAATTTGGGACGCCTGACAAGTTTACCCCATCACGTGACGATGCTGAACATTATGCAACAAATTTCACGCTGATCTAGCTTAGCTTTTAGGGTGGGATAGTTATGGACGTCTTTACAATTAAAATGTCCCATCACGGGAATTTTCTGTTTTGTCGATGGTCTAATAGAGGAAAGGCATTTGTGAAGCATGCCGAAAAAAGTGACGAAAACTTAGAAAAATGTCCATAAAGGCGGATTTTATAAGACGAACGGGTAGGAAAAGCAGAACGCCTGTAACATTTTTTGCCCAAGACCGATTTTTGTGAATCTTTTCCCCTGAAGCTGTACTCAAATAGACCTTTCATAAAAAGCAAGAATCATTTGTTTCGGGTTTTTGCCCCAGCTCACGTAAATCCAAAATTCACCAAACAAACTATTTGGAGAGGGATTTCTGGACAGAAGAGGGCGCCATTGGTCATCGTTAATGGCAACTTGACCGCTCTGCGTTGCACTGATCAGATCCTTTCTTCAACAGTAGACCAATGGTGTCCTGTATCAGCATGACAGCGCCAGGCCCCACACAGCCCTCATCGTCCAGAACATCCTGGCAGTCAAGAACGTAATGGTGTCGCATACACGTTCCCCAGTCATGCCTGCTATTAAACATAGCCCCGAAATGACCTAGTTTGTGTCGAGTGGACGTTAAACCCCATTTCTCCCTCTCTCTCTCTGCTATTAAACACCTCTGGGGTGTCATGGATTGTCGTGTTCGACAAGAACTGATCCTGGCGCTTCAAGACGAATGGCAACGTATACCAGGTGACGTCGAGGACAGGGGGTGGTTACAAACGATATTTATATGCCGCATTATTGAAAAAAAAACTTTACCATCGATTTAAATAGCTCTAGAATCAAAACCACAAAATACAGTGATGTAA